TACAGATGAGGGGACGCCAGCGTGAGGGCTCTAACACGGGGATACAGATGAGGGGACGCCAGCGTGAGGGCTCTAACACGGGGATACAGATGAGGGGACGCCAGCGTGAGGGCTCTAACACGGGGACAGCCCCGGCAGGTGAGGCCAATCTGGATCCCCAAGAAGCCTGGAGCAACTGCAGTGATTCCTGAACTCTAGGGAGAGAATTGCTGAATTCAGGCAAGGCCCTCGAAAACCAACGGCTCGCTTTCCTTAGTTTACAGGGGAGGGAATTGCGGCCATAGAGGTGAGGTGAATGCCATTTAGGGCAGTTGGTGGCACAGTCATTTATAGGGGAGGGCTCTTGTCCTTTGTCCTTTGGCTGTCACAGGTCCCTTTGGCGTTGCTCAAAGAAATGCTTCCAAATGTGTAAAAACAGTTACAACATAAACTTAATGTCGAAAGATGGTATAAAATATTTTTGGAAAAGGTGTAATTCGGGAATACCTGTGCTACTTGACTAGTAAATGAAATTACAGAATCTATGGGCCGATTGTACCTACAGTAATTTCAAAGTGGTAAGTCTCGTATTTGAGTTAATTACAGGGTAACTACGACAGAAGCTAAACGATCTGTCACTCCCACTGGTGACAAAGTCACCAGGTTAACACTCTGTGCTCTGTAGCCTACATTTGTAATTGCGGGAAAGGCCAAATTTCGATTACCGGTTGGTGAAAATAAAGATAAAACAAAGCTGAAAGTGCAAAAAGCACGTTGTGGCTCCAAGCTCCCAGACGCCAGCGCAGGATCCCTGCACTACAGCCCGAGTCTGACAGTGCGGATGATGGTGCAGCGCCCGAGCGGCCTCCTGCAAGATCCGGCACACGGGGTCCACGCCAGTACCCACCTCTCAAGGTTGCTGCGAGAACTTGCAGTATTGGCGCGAAAAGGCCAGCGATCACCATCCGGGTATTTGCCTCTCTATCTTTGCTGGGGGAAATTCAAATCTCGGGAAAGGGCGGACCCGAAAAGCGGCCCTGCGCCTGCGCGGGGGGGCGGGGCGCGGGTCTCTGGGAAGCAGGCGGGGCAGGGTGACGCAAGGTGACGCGGGTGACGCGGAGCGACGCGGAGCTCTCCCGCGCCCTCCCGCGCCCTCCCGCTCGGCGTGGGTACCGTCGGCCTGGCTGCCCGCCCTGCGGCCGGCGGGGAGAGGGTGGGGAGCGGCCCCGGGCGCGCGGCCCGGCTCCTTTCGTTGGAGCGCGGGCGGTGGCGCCGGCTCCCGGGGGCGGGGCCGGCGAGCCTGGGAGCCGGCGCGTCACTGCCCACTCGCCCCGCCTCCGGCTCCCCCGCCTCCCCACGCCCGGCGCGTCTCGCGCCGCTTCTCCCGCGGGTGTGGGGAGTGGGAATCTGTCCGCTGTCGGACCCGAGGCGCAATTCTCATGGCTCCCTTCAGCCTCCCTCGGCAGTCTATGCTTTGTCCCCACTGCTAGTTAAAGGCAACTCCTCGGGCGTGTGTTCCTTCAGCAACCTGGGGGACGGTTCCCAAGGGGGCGGGGCCCAGTTCGTTCGAGGCATTCTCATCCGGGCATTCACCAGATGCCTCAGCCGCCATCTTTGTTTTGTGCTGAAAGTTGCTATTGACGCTCGTGGACGGCCGGGCGAGGGGAAGTGGCAAGATGGCGGCTCCCAGGGCGGAGGCGTGAGGGCGCAATGGGGGGCTGGGCCGCGGGGCTGGGCGCGCTTGCGCCTGACCCGAGAGCGTCCTGAGCCCAAGCTCAACGCGCGGCGGACCTGGGCCCTCGCCGCGGGGCAGCGCAGGGATCCTTTAAGAGGCCTCGGCTCACGGAGAAGCCGTGCGAGGGCGGGGGCGGTGGGGGGGGGATGATGACGTCGTCCGGCTCCGCCCCCTCGCCCGACCGCCGCTGCCGCCATGTTTAGTTGTTACTTCTTCACACAAGATGGCGGCTCCCAGGGAGGAGGCATGATCGCCCTGCCGTTACCGCTCCTCCTGCCGTACAGTTGCCACTTCGGGGCCTAACTCTGGCTCTTTGGAGCGGCTCCTGTGGGAAGGAGTAATAAGGACGGAAGCGAGGATCGGACACTGCCTTGCGTTTGGTTTGCAGTGGAAGAACTGACCCAGGAGGAAGAGAATAGGGGGGGAAGGGGGAGTTAGTCTCAAGATGGCGGCTCCCAGGGCGTCAGGCGCAGTCTGAGCAGCAGAGGCGGACTCGGGAGAGAGGTTCGAGACCTCACGAGCTGTACGGCGCGAGTCTCCGAGCAGCCCCCGAGAATTCGAGTTCGTTCCACCGGCCTCCGGCGCGCCTCTGTCCCTTACGAGTGTCGAGGCTGTTTCGGGAGCGGCGGCTGCACTAAGCGCAGGGCGGGGAAGCGGGACGGTCTCAAGATGGCGGCTCCCACAATTGTGGTGTGAGCGCCGGCGGGGCAGAGACAACCGCGGTGCTTGTGGCTCCTTTCCACCCGCCCCGGAAGCCGGCCAGTGCAGGGGACTTGGGGGGTGTGGGAACCGGGCCGGGGCTCCGCCATTTCCGGCGGGGGAGGGCTACGACTGAGGAAGGGAGGAGAGAGAGGCGGCTCAAGATGGCGGCTCCCAGGGCCTCCCGCCCGAGCTTGTAAGCGGGAGAGTCCGAGCGAGTAGTCGGGGCGGCGGGACTTGGCGGCCTCCAGCTTCTCGGGGCTAGGCGCTCGAAAGTTTCGGGAGGCTCTTGAAGAGACGGGGTGAGCTAGAAGAAGGGGAAGAGCCGAAGGGAAGGAGGGTAGTTAAGATGGCGGCCTCCATGGAGCCGTCCACCGCTGTGTGAGGAACCGCTTCTCCGTGAGAGCTACCTTAGACGAAAGGGGGTGTGTGTGAGAGGAATTGGGGGGCTCCCTTCTCGCTTGGTGACTTTTTCCCACTACGGCCTTTCCCGGAACTATGGCTTCGGCCGTGTCGCCCGCCAACTCGCCAGCGGTGCTTCTGCAGCCCCGCTGGAAGCGAGTGGTGGGCTGGTCGGGTCCAGTGCCCCGGCCGCGCCACGGCCACCGAGCCGTGGCCATCAAGGAACTCATCGTGGTGTTTGGCGGCGGCAACGAGGGGATAGTGGACGAACTGCACGTGTACAACACGGGTGAGTGCAAAGCCCGCTGGGTCCTGGGATCTTTCCCTCCCTTCCTCCTCCCTCCCTCCCTCCATCTCCTCCCTCCCTCCCTCCATCTCCTCCCTCTCCCTCCTTTACCCCCCCTCCCTTCCCCCCCCCGCTCCTTTCTCTTCCCCTCCCCTCCTGCCTGCTCTCCCTCCTCCCTTTCCTCCCTCTCGCTCCGCACTGATCGGCGCTCTCCTCCGAGCTGCGACCCTTTGCTCCGCCCGGCTCCTCTGCTTTCCCTCCTCTCTCCCCGGCCTTCCCCTGCCCCTCCCCGTGGGCGCTCCGATCTTTGAGGAGTGCTTTTCATTATGCGGGAGAAATTCTCGAGTCCGGCGGGTGAGGGGGCGGGGGCGTCGCCGGCGCTGACTTGAGACACACACCGTTACCCCGCCGGGCGGGCGGCTGCGTCCCTTTGGCGCAGGCAGTCCCACCCCCTCCCTCCCGCCTCCTGCGCCTGCTCAGCTCTTCTCCTTCGTTGACGCTTGTTCGGGGGAAATGACAGCTTCTCGATTACGGATTAGGGATAGAGTTGAGGGCCCTAATCCCGGCGGGGGGGGGTGTGCCCCCCGCTGGGTGACCGCCGCGGAGCTTGTGCGGGAGTCTTGGGCGCTCGCAGGCGGGGCAGGCGGGGCAGGCGGGGCGGCGAGGCCGGCTCCCCCTTTGGCCGCGCACGTCTGTAGTGCTCGCCTCTTCGACCGGCTGCCTTTCCTACCCGAGGGCTCTGCAGGGTAGAAGGTGAAGTCCAGCGATCCCTAGTGGGCTAGGTGGGCCCTCGCCTCACCTGCGGGCGGGTCGCCGCTGCCCGCCCATGTGCATCCCTGCTCCAAAGCCCGGGCGCCAGACCCGCGGACTGAGAGGAGTCTGAGCTCCGCGGACACGGCTAGCTGCGTGCGGCCCGAGCCTCCGACGGCGCAGGCTCTGGGACTAGGTCGCATCCTCCGGTGGCCTCTCAGTCTGAGACAGTGAAAGCAGTGGCCCAGGGCCCTTCACCTCGCTAGGAGGGAGGGGCCAGGCGTGCTCCTTGCTGGAGGGGTGGTGCTGAGAGACCAAGACACCCAGGGGAAGAAGGCAGGGGCGGGCTGCGTGCGCCTACGCCCACACACCTGTCGGGGTCTTTCAGGAAGCCCCCCTCTCTAGCAGGGCGATGTGTTCG